AATATGCTGCATAGAACCCAACTCGTGTTGAGATCGCACCGATAGACTTCATTCTGCGAGACATTGGTGGTACTACCAGATAACGGATTTCGACCTCTGTGAATAAAACTTTTTTTGTGAAAGTGGTCCACGAAATAGAAAAGCTTCTATTCTGCATGAGTATCTACATCTTCCTGAGAAAGTGGAACTACCACGCTCTATCATAGAAGAAGTTATGCACTATAGGCTTGAAGTTGCATTTTTTACTCGCTTGCTACTGTTTCTTACTGGCTGCTACAATATGCATAATGTTCAATCTGTTACCTAATACCGGTGAAAAAATGTTGAGGATTCTGTTTCGAAATTTGAGCAGTAGAAACAAATATAGTGTTACGAATAATCCAGTAATTCTATGCATCCATTACATTTTACGATTAAAACACACTTTGTTTCATGCATGTCGCAGGAACTTGCTGCATGGATGCGACCATCAATTTCGACTCAGGATGTGCGCGTAAGCACCGTGCAGGCCATTCCCTCACAAGTTCTCTGACCGTAGTTTTTGTGGTGCTTTACTGGAGATTTATATAGGAGGATTCACAATTCCTCACACGTGCTTAGGAATTCTTTTCAGGCCGTCACCGTTTCGCATAGTCCTCACAAGTCACTCGGTTCAACCAGAGATTTGCACTTGGAATTAGGTATAGGCTGCTAATAAGCTTTGCCGCAGGAGTTGGCTGAGCATCTAGGATCCTGGTGTTCACAACCCCGTCCTCTATGTGGTTGAATCATTCAGCGGAAGTCTCCGAGCCCTCACACCTCCATTGTCCGCTTGTGAAGCATCTTTGGTGTTTACACCACTCTTCGCTTCCCGGAAGACAGGGAAGTATTAGTAAATGCACCGCGTTGCAAACGGAGGCATCAAGCTGATTAAAACGGTTATGATTCATTCAGTTATGCGGCTGGAGCGGACATTTCGAGGACAGCAGGCTTCCGTTCCAAATTTGTGCATTCCAAATTCTATGCCCTTAGGCCGGCAAAACGGAATCTTCCATTTTATCATTCCTTTGCACGCGAGAGTTCTAGCGATTATTGCTCAAAAACGGGTTTCTCAGTGAGAGTAGAGCCTTCGGAAAGAATTGGTTGCTGCCGTAAAAGTCAAACTTACCAAGTATTAGTTTAAGAAGGCAAGGCTGCACTTTTTGAATATTTTGGATGTAGCTCACCTCCTATCAAGCTTGTTCACTTAAAACAGCCCAGGCAATAATATCTATCGAATTGAATAACTCTTTTTTCGGAACACTACCCTTTTGGAACACTTTCCCTACCTTTTTTTGCACTTTTTCTTTACCATAATGTCAAGGTTGGCGATCTACAGGTTACCACGCAGTAGCAGAAGCAATTCAATCGCCTCCAAAGTCATGATCAGCATGCCCTTATTTCCCTCTTCATCTAAAAAAAGCACAGCAGCTGCTACCTGGACTTTGAAATTTTACGAATTATAACAGAAGTCTGTCGCGGAATTCCCGAGTGTATCAGTTTGCATTCGGCTTTGAAAGTGAATCTAATGCTCTCAATGAAACCCTATACAGGAATAAAAAACGGTCTTAGCCATAATTCTCTGTTACTGTATTCGCGTTGTTTTCAGCGGCACTTCTATAATAATAATAATAATAATAATAATAATAATAATAATAATAATAATAATAATAATAATAATAATAATAATAATAATAATAATAATAATAATAATAATAATAATAATAATAATAATAATAATAATAATAATAATAATAATAATAATAATAATAATAATAATAATAATAATAGATAATAATAATAATAATAATAATAATAATAATAATAATAATAATAATAATAATAATAATAATAATAATAATAATAATAATAATAATAATAACATTTCTCTCGCCCTGTCAGTGAGTGTGTGCACATGGGAGAGAGTAACGTAACGCAGAAGATATTCAAGTAAATGTTTGATCGCAATTAAGTTGGAAACTTAAACGTTAGCACAAGGAAGCCTAGCAGTTTCCTTAACATTCCTTCTCTGCAGTAAGGCTCTCCTATTTTGGACACTCGATTTCTGGACTCAATCGTTGTCGAATATTTACTCTAATTTCTATTTTAATGCTTTATACGGTCCTAGTATACTGGTTATCTGCTATACTTCTTGAAAGACTCCCCTCAACGGCCTGTGCACATTTGTGCCGACTTGTCATCATGACATTCTCTAGCCCAAGAGCTCAACGAAAAGGTTAACCATGCCACCACGCGGTTGCAATTTTCGATCAGAACGAACCAGAACGCATACTATACCCATAGCTCACAGCCAAAAAAACTTCGTCCAGTGCTGCGCTTTGTGTCACCTGTTCGTCATTTTTAGGTCACTTGTATCATTTTTTTTGTTGTTTTGTGAGGATGCTATCTAGGCCGTTGTAGCATGTTAGTCGGAGCTCTTCGGTCCTGATGTGTTTGGCTTAGGGCTGATAGTTACATCTAACGTAATGCTTGTAAGAAAAGGGAACTTGTTCGAGCGATTCTCAGGTGTTGTTGATGTTATCCGGATAATGTGAAATGTAACTCAATGGAAAAACTGAGGTAAAAGATGTGACATACTTTAGAGGCCCACGATAGAGCTTCTCAAGCATATCGTTGACGTTTGAACTTCCTAGACTGTGCCATACATGTGAAAAAGATTCTAGTAGTGAGAGCGTATAATATGTCTGAAAATAATCTTCCGCAGTTTTTCACCATAGTTTATCACACGCGATAAGAACTAACGCTAACTCTAAATTTTGCATCCTACATATAACATCTCTAGAACACATGAATTACTTTGTTCATTGAACGCCTACATAGCCTCATCAATCTCTCTCATCGTTTGGACAAATCCTTCAAAGAACGACGTACTTCGACATTTCGGATGAGAGGCACTTGCAGATGCGACTGAGGCGCGAACAGTTGTTAAGCACCGAGCGTGTGCTGGAATTTCCTATTCGTTCTTCATGGAGCCCTCGAGTTCCTAGAAGTCTCCGTTGCTGGCGAGCAGCAATTCGCGATGTCACCAACAGACAAGCGGAAATTAGCAGAGATACATATATAGGCGAAGGGCAGGGTTTCCGAGCGATACGACTGGTGCTGTTGCCCTTCGTGTGTTCCCCTGATTCGCATGGTGCTCCAAACGGATGTTGTTCCTTGTCGGAAAGTGCTGGTGCACTACAGTGATGGCAGTGGTTGTAACACGCAGCCTGGCTAGTGACTCCAGCGGATCTATACTGAGCATCTGGAAAAGTACTCGTAAGCTGGTAAGAACTGTTCGGTGGCGCCAAAGGTGCACATCTAGTAGGAACATACAGCGAGTGATGGTTCAGAGCTGATTCGGAGAAGAGACTGTCTCATTTGGCTGCCAAACTGATTTGATTACTAATCAGGATCGGAAGAATGTGCAAACCGTTCCAAGCTTCAGAGAGATAAAGAGTTGTACATTTACAATAACCACGGATAAATACGTGTGACTGTAACATTGAAAATTTTCAAAATGTAATTGACCTCGCAAATTGCCTAGATACGTGAAATAATTGAAATTGTAACTGAAATTGTTGTAAGCGATGTTTGTTTCAACCACGCTATTATGAAACGAATGAATGAAAGTGTTTGGAATGAAGAACGCACCGGTTTCAACTCCTGTTGTGTTGTGCAATTTTTTGAGCTTCTTGGGCGAATCAGGGAAAGGCAGACATTCGTAGCAGTTAGAGGAGGGAAATTGCGTCCTATGTATTTGAAATCAAAACCTTCCTTAGAGTCGTCTCTTACACCTTGGAGTTTTTGTCATTATTAATGCACGCTGTTATTAAAATCGTGCGAAATTGTGCGGAAATTCCCTTTGCAAACTTACATGTGGCTCCCACGAGAGCCAATTATCATAGAAAACTTATGAAATGTCGGGTTATAAAAACGCTACTTGCTTCCGTGCCATTATGTTGTGGACCTCACCGTTAGTATGCAGGCGTTTGTCACTCATGACCATCACGGAAGCTATTCATAATTATATTCAAACACATTGTCCTAAGGATCCCTTCTGAAATAAGGATTAAGCCTTGAGAATAGACTTGGAGCCATCAGCAGACTTGAATCCTTGTTTTATATACAGCCAATGTTCTTTTCGTTTCGTTTCAACGTTTAAGCAGATGGACAATGTTTTTTTCTCACTTCTCGACATGACCTCGTCTGCGATAGATGCTTCTAGACTGTTCCAGCCTAGATCCCGCTATCTTGTCTTATGTCAGATTTTGTCTTTGAATATTATAAGCAATTCTGCACTAACCACAAGGCCGTTCCGATATTTTTATTTCTTAGGTAGTTGACTTTCCATTACTGTTTGAGAGTGTGACGGAGTAATTACCTAATGTTTCCCATGCTTTTTGTTTTCTTTTCCTAAAATGTAGTGTAAACCCGAGAAAGCTACATTAACAAGACTGCTGGCTTACATCTCAGGAGGACTGCTGGCTTACATCTCAGGAGATGTTTCCATGGATATAGCACCATTGTCTATGATCAGGAACACGTCCAGGAGTTTCGATACTTAACAGTTTGTTAGCAGATACACCAGAAACAAAAACTACGGAGGCACGTGCGGTGAGGATGAGAGGAGGAACACCGGAAATTAACAACGAGGAATAGCGGCTAGATGCGTTGGTCTGATCTCGCAGGAGCTCATCTTCACATGTTCTCATTTGCTCAAATGTAGCCGCTGGCTGGCGCTCCTCTGCTCCAGCCCTGTTTCACTTCAATCCAGTTAGACATTTTGCTTTGTGTGCTTTACAGCGGCATTTTTATATACTTTACGATATTGTACTAATATTATTATGCAATATTAAATACGCAGTATTTTTGGGCATTCTCAAAAAAATTGTACAGTTTACCTGCGGTGAAAGCGACTCCATCCAGGATGCCCCTATCCTTGTCTAGCCGATGGAGATCAACATGGCCCTTTAACTCAGGGTCTCCAACGGACTCGAACCAGTTACCACCCGACTGATAGACGGGCACCCAACCGATTGAGCTATCGGGACATGTCCTTGTCGCTTGCGGAGTTCTTTTTATTTTGCGAAACATTAAGAAATGGAAAAATCTGTGCAATGGTGGTAGGCTCGAACTTGTGACCATGAAATTGACAGGCGAGTGCTCTACCACCTGAGCTATGGATACATAACGTTTGCAGCTGTGTGGACAGCTCTGAAAATTCCGTTCTAACAAATTCGCTCTGTTGACGAAGTTCATGTACATAGGGCATGCGAAGAGAAATAGCCTCAGGCTATTTTGAGCAGCTCATCTGCTTTTTGTAGGTATGTGCAGGAATGAATTTTTAAATCGAGTGAGATGTAGCGCTCTAGGCAAAGACGAACTTGCAGGGGACAGCCTCTTGCATCTGATTATCTATGCGTCTATCGCTTTTTACCAATATCTTTGTGCTGCACTCCTTCTGGAGCTTTGCTCGGGAGTGTCAACAAATACGTGGAACGAGGCGATTGAACACCTAGACGAAAGATTTGGGTTGCGAACCTTGGAAGGGAGAGGGGGGGGGAGCGGGCGTGGCTTCACGATTGGCTGATTGCAAGAATTGACCGGGTTGCGAACCTTGGAAGGGAGAGGGGGGGGGGGGGAGCGGGCGTGGCTTCACGATTGGCTGATTGCAAGAATTGACCAATCGAAGAGCTCGGCCGCGCAATTCTCCGCTTGGTAAAAAGCTTGAGACCATAGGATTTGGCGCACCTTCAGGGTCTTCTGTTTTTTTTTCCTTAAATATCAACGTATTTGTAGAATCGAGAACATGAGGTAAAGAACCCGAAGTTACACTGCTCACTGCTTTGTTAGTTTCCTGTCAAGGATCCACTGACATCACCCATTTCTCCATTATTGCCTGAAATGGACAACCACCCCAAATAAGCAGACCCTGTTGAGCCTATACATAGCTACAGATGACTCCACCCAATGGTCAAGCAGTCCTTGCACGCGCCTCACCTGTGCTGTTTAGACAGGTTAGAATAGAATAAAACAGGAGAATCGGACGAAATGAAGAAGTGAATATCAATGGAAAATGCGGATGCATAGACAGTCAGAGTGCCACGTTGCATGTGGTGGGTGTAACGCGTCCAAGCGAGTCACGACAAGTGAAGTGTTGTATAGCTGCTCTACGTACATACTTTATTCAATTCTTCCATTTAATTCCTCCGTGTCTTCAAGAGTTCATGGCAATGTCGGTCAGCCCTCCTTCGCCATCTCAAACTTTTCGGTTGCAGCTCTGTGCAAGAGAGATCAATTCCTCTTGATGAAACTCCCCGACATCCTCTTAAATTACCATTTCCTATGCCGGCTGCCTGGAAAAAATCGCACAAATTGAGATTCAAACAGACGTCTGCGAAGGATACATTCAAATGACTGCTTTTCCACAAACTACTTCTGGGAATTCATAGTATAACTTTGTTCCAACAGCGTGCACTTTTTATGTTCTCTAGGTGTTTTTATCCTGACTACATTATATTCAAGACGAATGCGATTGAAGCGACATTCACCTCTATTTCGTCATAAAAAAGTACTTAGAAAGTAAGAGTAGTGCTGTTGGTGAGAAGCAAAACTGTACATCTCAGAAGCTTTACAGCACTATGTCCATTTGATGCCTTCTTTCTATGAGACCGTCAACAGAAGGAATCCGAGGAAGCCTGAATTTTCCTGAGATTCTCATTTTAGACTAATAGTCGTTATTCGATGGAAACTTCAAGCGAGAACATGCTATGTTCTCGCTTAAAAGGAAAAGGAACAACTATTAATATATACTACTATACCTGAGACCGAATAAAAACCGAATAATTTTGCTACTTTAGTTAACAATTTAGGGAACATTTATAAACATTCAGATACTCGAGTACAACATTACTTTGGTATCTAATGTTAGAACATTCGAATTTTTCATTTATTCGGAATATTCGATATTCGATCTCGAATAAGTGGAAAATTTGAATGTTCCAACATTAGAGACCAATGTGCTGCTGTATGAGAGAAAAGAAGAGCTTTAGCGCTTTCTCCTTCTCGAATATTTGGTTGTTTCAAATGTTTCCTAAATTGATAATTGAAGTAACAAAATTATTCGCTTTTTGTTCGGTCCCAAGTATAGAACATACCCAGTTGCTCCATTCACTACCGCTGTTGTCATCCAAATCATGATGCTCTAGCCTGCATAGGTAAAATTCGATTGCGAGGGCGTGGTGAAGAAATGCGAAATTATGCGTGAGAGAGAGTACGTTCTTTGAAAATTTCATTGGAGCCGCCGCTGATTCTCGGGTCTTCTTCCACGAGCTGTGAACATCGCGGAGGTGCACCTTTAACGGATTTGGGACAGCGGTTGCGATTAGCAGCTGCTAGTAAAAGAGAAGTCAAGGTGAGGAGGCAAGAAGCAAGGCATCGGTGATCAGCGGCTGAGCAACCTGTTGTACTCTTCTTGCAACCAGGCGCGTAACACCTCCCGTTATGCTGAACAACTAGTCATAAAATTGACGAAGTCTCACCGCGTTCTTTTCAACCTGGGTCAAATTAAGCTGTTGATGGCGGCGAAGAGGGCAAGGAGGTGGGATTTTGTGAAGCCTTCGCCTGTGGAGAATCCGAGAGGTGATACCGAATTGGGCGTGATGAAAGAGATAAGCGCCATTCATACTAGATGCGTGAGTGCGTCAGTTGCGCGACTGACGCACGCAATGAAAATTCCGTGATCTAAGTTTGCGAACAAGTTTCGATGATTAGCTGTGACTGCAGCAAAGGTGCTATACCTCAGAGCTAATAATATAGACGATTTGTTGAATGGCACGAACTGCTTGATTTTCCTTATTCAGTGGACATTATTGGTTCGAAAAACTTTCGAGATCCATGGTATAGTTTCACAATAGGTTTTTCTTTCCCACGAACACTTCGCGAACAGATCTTGAAATCAGTGAGTTCCTTTTACGCACCTAGTCTTGCATATGCGAAACTCCTGCAATGGTGCCCCACTACGCCGTAGACGCGTGCGTCCAAGCTGCGTCAGCGATGCGATTGGCCTGTCCTTTATCATCCAGACGCACGCTCATCAAACGCAGCGATCTACAGCAGTATAAATTACCTTACATTCATGCATTTCTTCCAACTATTTGTTTAGGTTTCCGTGTGACTCCCTCACTTTTGCATTGCTGCTAGTGCGAAAAAAAAACAACAACATTTGTATTTTTGGAAGAATTCTTTTTTCAGTGCTGCGGTGGTCGTGCGGGTAGTGGTTGCGCCGCGTTCTGACCTTCTCACTCAAAGAATTTCAGAATGAAAAGTGTCAAAAAATAATCTTAAATAGAAATAAGCTATTGATTTTTAGCTTCCTCAACATTTGTTGTAAAAAAAACTCATTAGTCAGCCCTCAGAATGGGAGAGGAGTGGAGTGGGGGAGTGGGGGGGGGGG